AAAAAAAAAAAAACTTCAAAAACACTAATAAATTCTGAAAGAATATTAGTGTTAAGAATCACTTTATACATTAGCTGAATACATTTTGCTAGAATACACTCTTGTTCTCTCCATATTTTCTTCTTTTTCCACATCGACGACAACATCTTAAAAAACCTAAATCCATAAAGAAAAATCATTAGTTTGAACAATGATCTTTGCAAATTTAAAATAAAAAATAAAACTAAATTGAGATCAAATCTCTTGGTAATGCACACTTATCTACTAAAAATTCTTCCAACATATAAATAGTAAAATTCTTTTAGAATGCAACAGTAAAATTCTATTAGAATGCAACAGTAAAATTCTAGCAGAATTTATTATCAACATTTAAATAATTAACCAAAACCATGTGTAACATCCCAAAATTCAAGACCAAAAATTTCGTTTTAATTAAGTTATTATATAAAACCATCAGTATAAAAACATTCATATAAATATCTCATGTCTAAACCAAAGTATCAATAATCAAAACATATTATCATAACACCATATCAGAGTGTAATCCCAAAGATCTCATGTGCGGAAAACATAGTGTGATGCGCTGCGATCAAGCCGGCTCCTTTCCTTGAAAACGAGTACCTGAAACCAAAACTGTAAACCGTAAGCACGAAGCTTAGTGAGTTCCCCCATCATACCACATACCATACAATCATATAACATACATACTGCCAGACATATCTGGGTGCCCGACCTACCCCTTCGGTCCTCTCGACCGGTGAACTTGCCTAGCATATCTGGGTGCTACCATACCCCTTCGGTCCTCTCGACCGGTGACTTCCTAGCATATCTGGGTGCTGGCCTACCCCTTCGGTATCTTTCAACCGGTAACCGGGAGCTGGCCTCCCCTTCGGTATCTTTCAACCGGTAACCGGGGACTATTTCACCCCTACCACTACCACATAAAACCCTAGCATATAAACATAAATCACATATTTCCTAACATATATGGGTGCTGGCCTACCCCTTCGGTCCTGTCGACCGGTAATCGGGGACTATTTCACCCCTTACTACTACCACATAATATCATATCATAATCTGGCTAGCATGGCTGGGTACTAAACTACCCCTTCGGTCCTATCGACCGGTAACCGGGGGACTATTTCACCCCTTACTACCACTATCACTTAACATCATAACATGCTAGAACATAAAACATATCGGGTAGCAGCAAACCTAGATTAATATCACAGAGACAATCATCTAACATACAACTCCTACTGGTGGGCCGACATTGTGGCCGTAGACCCACCGCTACTAGAAGGTAACTCACCTCACACTGTTAAAGTCCCGTAGACTCAACCCCACACTGCTGAAGTCCCGCAGACTTAACCCCAACTGCAGGATGACAGATTCATGAACTGTCAACACCAAAATAACACCCAATTAATAATTGGGTTCCACTACATAACCATGAGTACATACTTTGGATAATTACTACATTACCCCAAGCTTGGCTTTATGCAAGCCCAAGGCCCAATCCATAGGCCCAAAATTCAACTATGAGTTAAAGCCCAACATATGGCCCAATTTTCCAAATTGGGCCCAAACCTTTATAAGGTCTTACCATAAGGCCCAACCATTTAGTCCAGTCCAACATTCAATATTCTAATGGCCCAATATCACATAATCATAAAAGCCCAAACTATGGCCCATCTATGGCCCAATTTTCCAAATTGGGCCCAAACCCCTTACATGGGCCTTAGGTAGTTTTGCATAATATAACGTGAACCACCAGTGAATGAAGAAGGTAAGATTACACGTTGTCCAACGTTGGATATATCTTTATTCCCGAGGTCTTGTTGATTACGTAACTTTTCATAAGACTCACATCTAAGAATTTATTGTTTGCTCCTTATGAAATGTAATCTCTCACTTTCAATCATAGTATAAGCATCAACCAAAAATTTTTGGAACAACCTTTTTGAATTAAGAATTAGTGAAAATTATTTATCCCTGTCCTGTATTCTATAAGAAAAAAACTCTCTCATTGTACAGTTGGGCCTCTTGCTGTTGCTTGAAGGTGTAATACCTCGATGTGGTATGTCAACCCTGTAACCATCATCACCATATGGAAACAGTAGTGGATACTGAAGAGGAAGGTATGATGGATGTAATTCACTAATACGTCGTAGAGAACCTGATGAAGTTTGAACAACAATATCTCTATTATCAATTGAATCACCAATATCTCCAAAAATTAAAGCGGCAACCTCAGAAGCAGACGGTAGGTTTTATGTCCTTCCATCTTGGTCCCTTCTTCCAATAATTCTCAACTTGATATCAACATGAGGGTTTTCATGAAAACAATCTCTAACCATTCTATAAGACTGAACCAAGACATTATTTGAATCTAACATCAACTTCAAATTTTGTATAATATCATTATCAAAGACAGAAGAATTTGATGTAGATCGTTGATTTTTTCCACTGCAAGTAACATGAACATATAAACATAAGATAAATAAATAAAGTAATGTTGATGAATAAAATATCTATTAATGTGATAATTATGAAAAGTGTACCCAAAACATGTTCCTCTATTTGTGATCTCATTATCAGTATCGTATATGTACAACTGAGAGAATTTTGGTTTTAACCCCTGTTCCGGTAAAAGGCTTCCGATACTATGATAATTTTGACCGCTAAGTCTAAAAATATATGGAGCATTTCCTCTATTGATCGAGGAATCAATCTTGCCACCCATTGATGTAAAAGAAAACATAGAATTGTAAGAACGAATGTTCTTCATGAAGTGTTTGCTTTTAGAATCTACAGATGTAAAAAGATTTTCATAAGTTGAAGGTGCATTCTTAAATGCTGGTAGTTCAACTTTGCCATAACCACAACATAGAGAATAATTTTCATTCTCCTTTTTTTACATCTGATAGATTCATCTTTCCATAATTTTGCAAAACATGTTTGGGATACAACAATCTGATCACCATGATCCAAATAATCTGTCAATTAAGGTTGACATAAAAAAGTTAATCATGTAAGCTTATATAAGTGAAAAAGATTGAATGAACAAATGTAAATATTATATTTGTAAAAAAATTACCTTTTGATATACTGTTGTATATGTTTTGATCGTTTTGGCACTCAATTTTGTCTTGATCGGATCTCAGACCAAATATTGGAATAGGAGTTAAATTTGGCAGTTTTTTTCTTATCTTTATTATTTGGATTAGTTAACATGACTGAAGACGATCTAGATGTTATTGTAGATGATTTGTTGGATGTGTCGCCATTTGAAAATACAGAGTATTGTGTAATATTTGTTAACGGCGATTGCAAAGTATTATTGGAAATATTCATGGCTGGGGAAAAAAGATTGAAAGTATGCATTGTTAAATATGATAGAATAATAATATATATTGTAAAATAAAATGGGAAAATAAATGAGTTACCGTTGGAAATGTCAGATAACGGAGATCTAACATTTAAATGTGAAGGAGGAGTTTGTAACATTGGTTGTTTTGATGTATTTGCACTTGATTTAGATGCGAATATGTTATTATTTCGATGTACAACTCCTTTGAATTTGTCTACAAAAAAAATGGTTATGAGAAATGTAAAATTATTTAATAATTGTTGTAATATTATATAAATATGAATATTGATAAAGAGATGATATAAAAAGACGATGACGTAATAAATTTTATTTTATATATTTAAAGGAAACTTAAAAAGTTTAAAAGCAATCAAGTATGTTACCGTTTGTCCATCCACATCTGATGTTTTGTAACGGTGTCTAAAAACTGCTATTGGGAATATCGATGACTGAGAAAAGAAGATTGAAAATGTACAATATCAAACATGATACAATAACAAAATATATCATAAAGTAATATGGTAAAATATATGAATTACCATTGGAAATGTTAGATAATGGAGTTC